TCCCAACACCCTTTACTTGGTGCTCCCTTCTCTATCTGAGCTTCCTTTTCCCCTAGCACGTGTGGCTGGCCTCCAAGTCATGGAGCAAAATTCCTGGTACTAATCTCAGCCACTCCTGGGTGTTAGTCTCCCATTTTGTTGCTTTATGTTCCCCAGATGAATGCAATCTTTCTGTGTCTACCCCGCTCTTTCTGACTCATTTCGCTTAACATGATACTTTCCATGTAGTACCACTTGTATGTAAATTTCATGACTTTGTCTTTTCTGACAGCTACATAGTACTCCACTGTGTAAGTGTACCAAAATTTCTTTAACCAGTCATCTGTTCTCAGACACTCAGGTTTTTTCCAGATTCTGGCTATTGTAAAGAGTGCTGCAATGAACAAACAATTGCAGATGTCACTTCGACTATACTTTTTTTGCTTCTCTGGGATATATTCCCAGGAGTGGTATTGCTGGGTCTTTTTGACACCTTCTAGGTATCATTTGTTTATGTCAGTGTGTAGTACCCATTGTCATCTAAAGACAGAAGCAATTATATCCTTAATGGAAGGAATCCTTAGTCAACTGAATTAGAATTCACCATTCCAAACAGGATTCAATTTACTACGAGGATGTGGTTTAGATTGACTCCATCTGTCAGTGAGTACCTGTATTGCAAATGTCCTTAAACTGATGACGGAGGTGGAATATGGCAGCTGTCAAGGATTCTGTGCTTCAGAAGGGAAGCCCAGGTCAGGAGCACATTCGCAACACAATAAACTCAGATTCTATCCCAGCTCTGTTGAATCAGAATCTCTGGAAGGCAGGTCAAGAAAAAAAATGTATCTTGAAAATCTTTTCAAGTAATTTGTAGACATGCTCAGCTTTATTTTTTTTAAATTACTCATTTACTTATTTTTTTGTTTGGGGGTACACCCAGCAGTGCTTAGGGCTTACTCCTGGCCCTGCCTTCAAGGATCGCTCCTACCATTGCTTGGGGGACCATCTGGGGTGCCAGGGATTGAACTCAGGTTGGCCAGGTGCAGGGCAAACACCTAACCCTCTGTACCGTCTCTGTAGCTCTGCATGCTCAGTTTTAAGAAGCAACTGCTGAGAGGACACTTGCCCATCTAAAGTCAGTATCTCAGAGGCCTGAGAGAAGACAGTAAGGGTTGCAAAGGAATGTGCCCACTACAGTGGCTCCCTAACTCAGTTGCACATTAGAGAGATGTGGAGAACTTTAAAAAAAAAAAAGGTAGAATGATGGAGCTGGAGCGATAGCACAGTGGGTAAGGTACTTGTCTTGCACGTGGCCGACCCAGGTTCAATTCCCAGCATCCCAGATGGTCCCCTGAGCACCGCCAGGAGTTATTCCTGAGTGCAGAGTCAGGAGTATGCACCCCTGTGCATCGCCATGTGTGACCAAAAAGCAAAAACAAAACAAAACAAAAATGGTAGAATGATGTCAGGTGTGGAGTAAGATGTTTTTTGTTTGTTTGGGCTTTTGGTGATACTCAGGGAACACTCAGGAAGTACTCCTGGCAATGTTCAGGGAACCATATGGGATGCCAGGGATCAAACCTGGGGCAGCCGTATGTTAGACAGACACCCTACCACTGTACTATCCCTCTGGCCCCATGGTCCTCAGGACTTTTCAAAAGCTTCCCCCTTGAAGACTCAAAAGTGCAGACATATTTAGGAATTGCTGAGAGAGCTTCATTGCCAGCAGAACTATAACAACTTTTGGTTTCTGGTGTCCCCTGCTGCAATAGCCCTGCAGAGTGGGCAGTTCAGGACTTGCTAGCCAACTTCCTCCACCCTGTCAAGGGCAGCACTGAAGGAGGAGCTCTCCGGGTGTGCTATTCACCTCTGGCCTGATAGATAAGTGCTTATTCACTTAATAAGCTAGGAGGTGCTGAGTCCAGTCTCTCTTGACCTCATGTCTTCATCTGCCAAATGGACACAGTGAAAGCCAAATCTGAGTATTATTTCAAACACTTCCTAAAATAACATGTGAAAGTGCTTTCTAGCACAGGTGAGCTGTTCCAAACACCTGAGCCAGATAACAGAGCCATCTCTACCCCTTTCCCTGTGCTGGCAGGACATCAGCAGTAGGTACTAGGCAAGAGTTTAGGGCTGTCTCTTGCTCAGGACACCAAGGGGGCTGAGAAATTGCAAAAGCCCTTTTCACATATAAATACACTTCCTCTTCCTCTCATATTGGAACTGGAGAAACCAGGCAGGAGGTACAGCAACTTTGCCTTGCATGCAGTAGATCCCAGCTCAGTTCTCACCGTTGGATGGCCAAACAAACCAAGACTCTGAGCCTGGAGGAGTCTCCACGCACTATGTGGCCTAAAACCCACATATGTATGTGGTCCAAACATATGTTTGTACTCCTAAAACATGTATGTGGTCCACATATGTATTTGGTCCAAAAAAAAACTAAAAAGGGGTAAAAAGGGGACTGGAGCAATAGTACAGCAGGTGTCATTTGCCTTGTTTGTAGTTTACTTGATTCAATCCCTGGAAAAGCACATGGCCCCGGAGCACCACAAGTAGTGGTCTCTGAGCACAGAACAAAACTGGGTATGGTCAAAGGAAAGAGAGAGAGAGAGAGAGAGAGAGAGAGAGAGAGAGAGAGAGAGAAATCAAGCCTAGGTCAGCTGGGTGCTAGGCAATACCTGCTCACTCTCCCAAAAACCTTTAATTAGTGTATTGCTATTAGTGGGCTGGACCCTCACCAGGGAAGGGGAAGGGCTCCCTGGATGCCCTAGAAGGGAGGAGGAGAAAGGGGGGAAGAATCTACCCCTTCCACCTCTACCCACCTCTGTCGCTCAGGGAAGTTCCTGGGAAATTTAGGACTGCTGAGAGTCCTTGATGAAACCCTTCACAGATGTGAAGTCCGTGGGACCGCCAAGGGTGGCTTACATGAGGCGGAAGAGAGAGAGGGTCTCATTCTTCTGATCAATCTCTGCCACCCCGGAACTGGGAGGGCTAGGACTGAAGTCTGCAAATGAGCCTGCACGTGGCATGGATCAGAGTCCCCGCCAGTCCTACTACATGGCCCTCAAGCCACATTTGATGTCCACTTGATCTTCTCGGCACGTGGTTAATCCTCATCACCTGATTTCTTAGGGAGCTGTGAACTCCAGCTGGAGAGAGGAACTGCTCTTTGCATGAGAAGAAAGTGAGTCCTAGGGGCTGGAGCGATAGCATAGCGGTTAGGGCATTTGCCTTGCACGCGGCCGACCCGGGTTTGATTCCCAGCATCTCATATGGTCCCCTGAGCACCGCCAGGAGTAATTCCTGAGTGCGGAGCCAGGAGTGACCCCTGAGCATCGCCAGGTGTGACCTGAAAAGAAAAAAAAAAAAGGCCAATCCTAGGCCTTACCCAGGGTTTCCAGGTCGTTATCCTTCTCACAGAAAATAATTTCAAAAATAGACAAGCAGTGAAGTAAAAAAAAGATTTATTTAAAGGATTTTGAGGAAAGAGAGGAGAGAGAAAGAGAGAGATAGTGATGCACTCAAGAGAGAGAATGAGAAGGCTTCTCCAAAGAGAGAGTCCAGAGTGGCCTTTAAGATTAGCTTTTATGTGGATTTTTCTCAGGTTTCCTTGGTCTGGAGTTTTCTGCCAGAAGTGAGGCTTGTTCAAGTATTGTCACAAAGAAAGAGCTTTGAAGTTTTCTGTGAAGCTCCTTCAAGTCCTTCTTGCAGTCTCTTTCTCTGCTGAAGTTTGTTATCAGATATCCAGGATATCCCTGGAGAAAAGCATTGAACTTCTGGTGGTCTGTTCTTAAATTATGATCAGAGCCTTGGTCTGTGCATTCCCGGCTCCTCTCTTCTCGAAGATCCACCCAAGCTAGTGCCTGAAATTCTGCGTCTCACTGGTTTTCCAGACTCCTGATGGGGCTTTTTTTTTTTATCTCAAAGACCTCCATGTCTACAGGCTGGTTTAGGTTTCAGATACTGTTTTCTCCACATACATTACCAGGGCCTACCCCCAGCCCCTTATGGCCTGCAACAAACGTATTCATTTAAACTAATGCTTATTCATTTAGTTTTCTTTTTTTTTCTTTTTTTAAAATTTTTATTAGTGAAACACCATGAGTTGCAGTTGTAGACTTACAAACTTTCATGCTTGGGTTTCAGTTATACAATGATCAAGTACCCATCCCTCCACCAGTGCCCACTCTCTACCACCAATGATCCCAGTAACCCTCCAACCCTTCTTTTAGTTTTAAATAACAGAACATGACTAGTCCAGATATAAAGACCCAGGAACCATTGGTGGCCCATTGACCATACTTTGACTAGCAAGACTAAAGCAGCTAGCTTTGCTTTTCTTGAAAAAAAGAGTTCAGAAGGTACTTTGAGAGAAAGACAAATAAGTGACTCAGGGCTTGTTTCCTACGTGGACCCCCACAAATTAGTCCCTGAGGGCACCAGCCCCTCAAGAGATACAATGCAATATACATGGTGCAGTATATGGGGAAGTCTAGGATGCTGTGATTATCTATTAGAACTAACATGTGTCGCAGAGCCATAGTTCTCAGTCCCTCCAGTGCTTGCAAAATTATCTGAAAACCTGTGAAAATGCAGATTGTTATTTTGAAGGCCTGGGCTGGGGCCTAAGGTTTTGCATTTCTAACTAGTTCCCAGATAACGTTCCCGGTTCATGGGCTACACTTGAACCAGCAAGATGGTGAAATAGTCATGGGCAAGTGACTGCTTTGGGCTCCCTCCTGCCACCTCCCCCGCCATTCGACAGTGTCTGGAGACAGTTTTGCTTGTAACTCTTGACATCTGCTGGTTTGAACCCAGGGATGCTACTGAATAATCTAAATATTCTGCATTCAGGTGTACGACAGTGCTCACAATTACAACTTATCTTGCTAACAGGCGAGGTGGAGACTTCCTGCTGTCGAGCAGCATGGACTTTGGGGAAGGGGAGCTGAGTGGGAGAGTGGGTCTTGGCACTGACGGTTGTTTTCTCTCTCCTACTTCTCTGCACACAGGTGCCAATGCCTCAGCCCCAGACCAACTGAGCTTAGCTTTAGCCTGGAACAGAGTGGACATCGCCCGCAGCCAGATCTTTATTTATGGGCAACAATGGCCGGTAGAGTATACATCATCATCCCTGAAAAGCCCGCCTGCTTGGGCGAGGATATTCACTTAAGGAATTGCGGAGAGCGCGGCTGGGAGAACCTTTGATTTCTCCTTAGGAGATTAACGGTCCTTTGGTAGACAAGTCTTTCTCTGCTTAAGAAAACACTGCCATCTGCTGGTAGCCTTGACAACCCACAAGTCAGCGCAGATGCAAACGTTCCAAACATGCCCATCAGTGGCCTTGCATAGCTATTTTCCAATTTCAACACTTTTTTTTTAAGCCTCCATAAAGAGAAAAGCAAATCGATATGAACTGCAATTCAGTGAGGAGTAGAACGCATTTCTTGTTGTCCTTTAGGAAGACAAAGGAAGAGACTGTGGTTTCCCAGCAATGGCACCCCATGTCGCAGCAAGTCTCTGCATGGTTCCCCCAGCGTGCAGAATTAGCAGTTTTGCTCATGCAGGTGCCATCTGGATCCTGGTCCTAGTGCAGGTCCTCGCTACTCCCGAGAACACCAGAGAGGGAACAAAGGCTTTTTATATAACTGTTCTTGGATTGTTTCCCTCAATTGACTCCACCAAAAATAAAAAACTTGGAAAATTGGCCTTTGGGTTGTACATGCATGCACGTCCTCAGGAGGCAAAGGCAGCCTGTGTTTCTGTGGCTGAAATATGCCAAAGAATAATCCCTCCATGCACAGGTCTTAACTTTCCCCCTTTCGCTGCCTGGAGCAAGCTTCTGCCTAGGATTGAGTTCCTGTCTTCATTTATTGCCAATGGGTGGATTGCTAGTGTGAAAAAATTTTCTTAAGGCATCTGGACACTACGAACCTTTTGTGGGGGATTAAATAAAGATTCTAGCCAGTGAAAAATCCAGAAAAGGAGGCTATTCTATTTTTTTTTTTTTTTGGTAAGTGATATTTTCACCTTCTTCACCACCAATTCTACACAGAAACACAACACTCACTTAGGTCCTTGGGTCTGCGTGCTTCCATCCCTTTTCTTAATCAGCCAGAGACCTATTTCAAAATCAAAGAAGATGAAAGGAAAGCAGAATGCCACTCATTTTAGTGCGTCCCTGGTGTTGCTAAAGTTTGGGAGACGAAAAGTCTTTTAAACCATCGTAGTGTTTCAGGTACAGGACCTAAGGAGAGATTCAGGGAGGAAAGAGCTTTTAGAAGTAGCCATCCTTTATTTTTATGTGCAAAAACAAATCCTACAGTGTAGAAGATATGGTGGTGGTCCCCAAAGGGGAGATGGAAACATCTTGCTAACAACTTCTGGGAGGCTTTGTTTTGTTTGTTGATTGTCGGGATGTTGTTTGTTTGTTTGTTTGTTTTTCTGTTTTAGTTGGGATTTTTTTATTTTGGGCAGGGGTGTGGTTAGGAGGGTTTGATGAGTATTACACTTGGTGATACTCCTGACTTTACACGGAGGAATTGCTCTTGGCAGTTCTCAGGGAACCATATGGGATTCCAAGAGGATTGAACCTGGGTTGGCCACGTGCAAGGCAAGGCAATGCCCTCCCTGATGTACTATTGTGCTAACCCCGCTAGCATCTTCTTCAATGTACTTAAGAGTTACTAGATGTCAAAGACACCCACCTTGAAGCTGTTCAGGTAAACTCCAAAGAGCTGCGTCCTTCGAGCCCAGGGCAGACTAACTCAGTAACTTGATTTGCAGGTGGGTTCTCTGGAACAAGCCATGTTGGATGCCCTAGTTCTGGACAGAGTGGATTTTGTGAAATTACTCATAGAGAATGGAGTAAGCATGCACCGTTTTCTCACCATCTCCAGACTAGAAGAATTGTACAATACGGTAGGACCAAGCTAAGCCATTTTCTATTTTCTCTCTACATTCTTTGTTTTAACTTTTCCTGCCTTCCACATGTGTGAGTCTCTTCCCTGCCTTCCAAATGCATGAACCATTGTTCATAAATGCCCCCTGAGACCTGTATAGACAGCAAACAGCAAGTTACCAGGATTCCACTTGTTTTAACTGCTCAGTTGTCAGCATCTAAAGCAGAAAGTTGCGTGATTATTCAAAAATTGGGGCCAGAAAGATAGTATAGCAGGTAAGGTGTGCACCAACTTGCTCACAGCTGACCTGGGTTCATTCCTAGTATCCTCCTATGGTCCCCGAGTCCAGAGTGCATTTAAAGCAGTCACTGAAAAAATACTAATTTAAATCAAGCATCAGAGGCTGGTTAACCACACCATTTTGTTACCTTCAGAATGATAAAATTCTTTCCTTTCCAACTACAATGGAATAAAATGTAGAATACTTCTTATAAGTTGCCTCCCAAAAGACTTTTAGTAATAATCTAATATACTTGCTAGGGGTAACCATAAGAAGAACAACTATTGTAAAGTCATTGAGTGTATTCAATGCATATAATATATAGGCTCTGAGCTGAATTCAGACACCAACATCCAGTGATGTTTAAAGAGTAGACATTATTTTTTTCCCATTTCACGGATAAGAAAACTAAGACTACAAAGTCAATTTATTCAAATCATAAATTCTCTAAGTCCATAAAGAAGCCAGTACTGAGCTAATGCATCTATCTCAGAGGTAACTCTTTATCTCCTCTGCCACAATGCTCTCTGTTCCTCCTCTCAGGGCACCAATGGGATAAAGCCTTTTGACTGCCCCACTGATGGCAGGCGTCATCCCAGATCTGTCTCATTCCCATGGCCCAAAGCTGAAAACAGGTTATCAGAAAGGCTCCACATTTCTGGCTTTGCAGCAGACTTTTCTTGGTTCAGCTTTACTGGCCTTCAATAAGAATATTGGACAAAAATGATGGAGTAGGAGACCCGAATTCCATCCTGCAACAATGATCAGCATTAGCCGGTTATCCATCAAAGAGAAAACGAGCTCTGGGAGGGCTCGGAAACCGATGCCAGACATTTCAGTGGTTCCAGAATAACATAAAACCTGAGAATAACCACAGAAAAGGGAAGGAGATGAGGTTCATTTTACCGACTCAGTGCTAAGAGGGAACTCGTAGCTAGACAGGAAAAGCAGGTAAGTGACCAGCTTCTCCCACCTGTGGGGGGACAGCACCCAAGGATGCACTTTGATTTCTCACTCCACGCAGAGACCGTACCATGTCAGCTAGGAGGAAGGAGGAAGAAGAAGAGCAAGGGGCCGCCAGTGTCATCTACACAGTGACAATAGCCAGTTCTTAGTGACCTATTATGCAGAGGATCCCAACCAGTTTTCCCACTAAAGAAACCCATGTCCAGTTCCTCCATCCTGGACCACTTGCAGATTTCACCTGTTTTAAGCCTACAGGTATTTGCATCTGCAGATGGCAGTTACCTACATGACCATCACACTCCCTCTCCCTTATCTGTGGTAGCGCCTAGAATCCACACCAGCAAACCTCAACAACAAAGCAAGTGCGAGATGCCAGCTGAGATGCTCTCTGCCACACACAGGCTGATCCTTCCTCTCTTGTCTGCACTGAGCTCTAGAACTTTCCACTCTGCACCTGCATGCTGTCGACATGGCACACACCGACGGTCTCCGTGGTATGTGCCTTTGGCTAGATGCTGCGATAATCAGACATGCTTACCATCAATGCAAGCCACCCCTCTGCACAGGCCTGATCTGGCCCTTTCTCCTGTCACCAATCCATATCACAGGACAATGGGTAGCGTGCAGTGAGATCTGCAGTTCTGAAGCAGCACGTTTCCTGGAAGACTCTGGTGACACGTTGGTCTGTCACTAGACCCCACCGCTGTATACCCATGGCAAGGTCCTGTAATCACAGGAGTGCATGTCAACAGTCAAGGCACCCAAAGCAACTTCTGAACTAGCTTCAGGCCTGTCTCTTGTAACTAGTCTGCACTACATGGTTTTCTTACCCCTGAACCCCACTGTTCTGACTCCTCTCAAGAGCTTCCATGGCTATGTGCATGCCATTTCGGGATGCAAGTCAACAGTCAGGGTGTCTGCAGTTGCCGGTGGACCTATACTTGGCCTCTGTCACTATGTATGTGTTTGCAGCCAGTCCCTGCCACCGTACAGGTGCCTGAAATTGTCTTCAACTACTCAGCATGTATATTGCACCAGCTCCATTTCCTCTGTTGTCTGCCTTGGATCCTAGTCAGTGGGCTTGGAGACACTAAGGACCCCAGTAGCCGTTGCAGACACTGAAAACCTCTTGTGCTCACCAAGAACCATGCAGTTCTAGATGCTGTGGATGCCCTAAATTAGGCTGACAAAACATCATCCTCAGGCAGACACAGACACCACATACCTTACATAGGCCACTCTTCACCCCCAGAGCTGAACTCAAGGTACACTCCAGTTTGCCCCCTGCTATAGTCAAGGGCTTTTCTTACCCCGTGCATCCATCAAATCTGGAAGAGGTGATTGCTGCTTCACATGTGAAATCACTGAAATCACCTTCAATGAGGGAAACATGATTCCCCCAGAGGAGCACCTTCCAGGAATCGACCTTAATTGAAACACATTCATTTCCCAGTGAAGGATTCTAAATACTTGTTCTAAAGCCGTTCTGACACTGCAGGAGATCAAGAATTTTTGATCTGTGAGAATTTTTTGTTTCTTTTTTTGGGTGAGAGATCCTACCTTTTGGGCAGGGCTGGAGCGATAGCACAGCGGTAGGGCGTCTGCCTTACACGCAGCCAACATGGCCGACCCGAGTTCGATTCCTCCGCCCCTCTCGGAGAGCCCGGCAAGCTACCGAGAGTATTCGATATGCCAGACACAGTAACAACAAAGTCTCCAATGGAGACGTTACTGGGCCCGCTCGAGCAAATCGATGATCAACGGGAGGGCCTTTACTTTACTTTACTTTATTTTTTTGGGTAAATTCAGTGGTGCCCAGGATTCACTCCTGGTTCTGTGCTTAGGGATCTCTCCTGGTGGGGCTCAAGAGACCATCTGGGGTGCCAGGAATTGAATTGGGGCCCACAGAATCAATGCAAGTGTCTTGACCCCTGTGCTCTCTCTCTAGCCCCAAGTCTTTCCAAATTTTTGAAACTTAACAATGCAATGACTGGAGGATCCTCCCAGGAGGGGAGATACATGTCGAAAGTAGACTATGGACCGAACATGTTTGCCACTCAATGCCTCTTTTGCAGACCACAACACCCAAAAGGAGAGAGAGAACACAAGGGATTGCCCTGCCACAGAGACAGGGGAGATGGGGGGATGGGGGTGGGAGGGATATTATCCATGGTGGTGGAAAATGGGCACTGGTGGAGGGATGGGTATTTGATCATTGTATAAACGAAACCCAAGCACAAAAATTTGTAAATCTACAACTGTACCTCATGGTGTTTCACTAATAAAAAAAGAAAAAATTTAAAAAAAAAATGCAATGACTGGGGCTGGAGAGATGGCACAGCAGGTAGGGCATTTGCCTTGCACACGGCCGACCCGGGTTCGATTCCCAGCATCCCATATGGTCCCCTGAGCACTGCCAGGACTAACTCCTGAGTGCAGAGCCAGGAGTAACCCCTGTGCATTGCCATGTGTGACCCAAAAATAAAAAAAATTAAAAATTAAAAAAAAAATTTAAAAATGCAATGACTGAACTGAAAAATTCAATAGAGAGAAAAGAACAAGCAAAGAAAAGAATCCATGAGTGTGAACACAGATTATTTGAAAATATCTAATTAGAGAAGAATTAAAGGGAATGAAGAAGACCTTTGGAGTTTATGGAACACAATGCAGAAAAATGGTGTATGCAAGGTTGGAGTCCTGAAAAATTAAAAAGGAGGAAAGAGGATGAATTACTAATTTTAAGTAATGATTGAGAACTTTCCAAACCTGTAAAGATATTTGAGCATGTATCCAAGTCCATGAAACTAATATCACCCCCAAATTTGGATACAAACATTTTTCTAAGACACATTATCCTAAAACTGTATAAAATCAAAGGCTAAAGAAGAAATTCTAAGGCCGCAAAAGAAAAAAATTTTTCCCCTTATTTTAAAGTAGATATCTTGCAGACCAGGAGAATATGGAGAAATATATCTTAAATGCTAAAAGAAAAAAAAGACAACCAAAAATACTTTGAACTGCAAAATTGTCCTTTTTAAGTGAAGGTAAGATAAATAGTTTCCCCGAAAAACAAAAACTGAGAGAACTGATCACCATCAAAACATTTTTTTACAATAAACTATGAAATCAGGTCTTCAAACTGAAATGGAAGGATGTGAATTAGTTTCATGAAAAACACACAACACACAGACCAAGGTAAGTATATATCATCAGATGCAAAATTCTCTAGTGCTGTATGTATTCTGGGTTAAGCACCTAAACTTACTACATGGATTCCAAGACCAAAGAAAGAAGTTTTATTTTGGGAGGGTGGGGTGTGGTGGTGTTTGGGTCACACCAGGCAGTGCTCAGAGCTTACTCAGGCCAGTCTCTCCTGGGTGATTGCCTTGAAATAAGGATCATTCCTGGCAGGGCTTAGGGGACCATCTAGGATGCTGGGGATTAAACCTGGGTCAGTCACATGCAAGGCAAGTTCCCTACCTGCTGTGCTATCACTCTGATCATAAGACCAAAGTATTTTTTTTAAACCATCGTTATTGTGAGGTCAAGATACCACACGTCCTGCTTGTGGTGCTCACACACTCTAATTGCGGTTCTTGCCAGAGCTACACACTTGGAACTGCATTCATGCACACTTCAGTTGCAATGCCTGCTAAGGTTCACAGTTAGTGGCAGTCTTGCATCCTGTCTGATTTCAGTGTTTTCTAGTCGGTACACATGGGTTTGAAGGGGCACACACTTTGATGTGGTTCTCCCCAGAGACTACCCACTTTTTTGTTTAGTTGTGGTGCCAATACACACTTGGTTGCAACTTGCTATAAATCATATACTTTGCCGTGGTATCAGGGATCATGAACAGTGCTAAACAGCGAGGGTCTCACTCCGCATGTGAGTTGGTCCTGGGACTCCAGATCGCAGTTTCATGCCTGCAAAATGGGAATTCCACCACTAAGCCCATTCCTGGACTTTCATTCATTTGGCAAAACACACAGCATTCAAAGGCATAAATAGTGAAACATGAAAGACAGAAAATGGAGAGGTTGTGGTAAAATGGTAGGGTGTACTTTGTGGATGCAAAGGACTTACAGTATAAGATATTTCAAGGAAGTGAGTGGGAGAGATAATACAAGGCTGAAGATACTTTCTTTGTTTGGGGCTGACTCCAGTTCAATCCCTGACACCACTCAAGGTTCCCAAGCACCCCAGGAATGATCCCCAAGTGCAGAGCCAGGAGTAAGCTCTGAGCACTGCCAGATATGGTTCAGTACCCCCAGAAGAAAATATTTGTTTCAAGTAAGCCTCAGGGTAACCAAAAAACAAAAATTTTTTTTTATTTTTTTCTCTTTTTTTTTTTCTTTTTTTCTTTTTACCTCTGGTTCTGTTTTATTATTATTATTTTTTTTCCCTTTATTTTATTTTATTTTTTTTTAAAGTTGTAGATTTACAATTTTTTGTGCTTTGGTTTCAATTATACAATGATCAGATACCCATCCCTCCACCAGTGCCCATTTTCCACCACCATGGATAATATCCCTCCCACCCCCATCCCCCCATCCCCCCTGTCTCTGTGGCAGGGCAATCCCCTGTGTTCTCTCTCTCCTTTTGGGTGTTGTGGTCTGCAAAAGAGGCATTGAGTGGCAAACATGTTCAGTCCATAGTCTACTTTCGACATGCATCTCCCCTCCTGGGAGGATCCTCCAAACATCCTTTATTTGGTGCTCCCTTCTCTATCTGAATAGCCCTTTCCTCTAGGATACCCGGCTGGCCTCTAAGTTATGGAGTAATCCTCCTGGTGCTGATCTCAGCTATTCTTGGGTATTAATCTCATACTTTGTTACTTTATATCCCCCAGATGAATGCAATCTTTCTATGTCTATCCCTCTCTTTCTGACTCATTTCGCTTAGCATGATACTTTCCATATTGTACCACTTGTATGTAAATTTCATGACTTCATCTTTTCTAAGAGCTACATAGTACTCCATTGTGTAGATGTACCAAAGTTTCTTTAACCAGTCATCTGTTCTTGGGCATTCAGGTTTCTTCCAGTTTCTGGCTATTGTAAAGAGTGCTGCAATGAACAAACAAGTGCAGATGTCACTTCGACTATACATTTTTGCCTCTCTGGGATATATTCCCAGGAGTGGTATTGCTGGGTCAAATGGGAGCTCAATTTCTAATTTTTTGAGAATCGTCCATACTGCAAAAAACAAAAATTTAAGGTAGATTCACACAAGGTAGTAAGAAGAGAGTCAAAGTGTATCACTACAGAAAACCAACATTTCCCAAAGGAAAACCAAATATAAGGAATGAAGGAACTAAGGTATCATTCTTCTCTGACTACAAAAAAAATGGAGTGAAAGAAGACTTCCAAGATCATTTTACAAGACCAGCACTACCTTAATATTAAACCCCATATAAGAAAAATATTTTCTTAAGAAAAAGGAAACAGTAGGGCAATTACCCTGATGAATTTAGGTGCGAAATCTCTCAACAAAACACTAGAAAATTGGATTCAATAGTGTATTAAAGTGAGCACTTTGTGAACAACACAATGTAGATGACCCCTGCCATTTCTGCAACCAAAATATACAAAAGCACCACACTATATTGTGTGACTGTCAGTGAGAACTTTACCATACATGTGAGCACTGCAGTGGTGTGTGTGTGTGTGTGTGAGAGAGAGAGAGAGAGAGAGAGAGAGAGAGAGAGAGAGAGAGACATTTCATTGCAATAACCATCAGGGAAGAGACAGAACAAACGCCCACTCATTCATCACTGTCTTTAAAAAATTGATGAGATAGGACAGGACCCCAGTAGTAAAAACTAAAGTCTGTTGAGTGCCAGGTCCTGTTTAATAGCTTTATAAACATTTCATCCTTCTGATTCTCACAACAGCACGGTTTGAGAAGTGGTATGTTTGTTCCCATGTAGGAAATAAGATTGAGTCCTAGTTAGCACACTTCCCTATGGTCTCAACAGCAGAGCCAGGCATTCTGACTCTACATCCACAAAAGACTTTACATAAGATCCCATTCCCTTCACTCACATTTGCATGATGGTGTTGAGTTGGTGCCTAGGGATGGGCATAATACTCGAATGTGTCCCAGTCATGCTAAAACATTTGCCAGCACTGAGATCAGTCAACAGATTTAGCAAACAAAAATACAGGACGTTCAGTTGGATTTGAAGTTGAGATCAACAACCAGTAATTTTAGTATAGACATGTCCCATGCACTGCCTGGAGTATGCGTGTATCACGAATGAGTCCTGATCTGTCTGGAATTTAGTTAGTGGGGAACCCTCTATTCTATCTAGTATCCCTTGCCCTGAAACACAATAGGATGGCAAGACATTTTCACTTGATTCCTATCAAATGGGACATACATTTGCTATGTACAAAAATGTAACATATAAACATTTCTTTTTTCTCCAAGCCTTTCCTTTCCTCAAAAGTACATGTAGCGTGTTCCTTTAGAGCAAAATTTTATAAACTCTTACCCAAGTGTTAAATCCGACTGACTATTTTCATATAGCTTGCAAGTAAGAAAAAAATTGTTAATGTTAGTGATAGAAAAACTATATATTTTTAGCTACTTTTTTATGTTGCTTAACATGGTCTCAATAGTATTAACATTTATTTTGATGTACAAAATTACTGCACCTTCACTTCTATCAAGGCATATAAAAGTGATAGGCCCACTGCCACTGTCTTTATGTCATTTCTTATCCCATTCTAAAGAATGATATTTTGCAATATTGAATTAAAGTAATATGGAATCCAGACTTTCTTATGTTCAAAAAATAAAGGATTATAAAAACATGGGCAAGGTTCTGTTGTCTCTGTCTGCTTTGACACGAGGTCATTTGATTCATTGTGTTGAGGATTGTATGGCCCACAAAGTCTGAATATTATATGGCCCTGAACAGAACACGTTTGCTGCTTTGGCTCATTTCTGCTTTATTATTGATAGCCATCAAATTGCAATCGGCAACATGCCAACATGTATCTCTAGTGCAGTAAATTGGCCCTTCCGTCTCCCAGCTGCAAAACTAGCCCCTGACATAATGCATTAGCAGGGCTGTCCAAAGCAGTGGAGGCCAGCTTCACAAACGCTGAACCTAAGCCCTCCAATGCTTTGTCCTGAGAGTGTACCCCAAACCCAACTCTACCAGTGTGTTTGTTTAGGGACAACTGAGCAACTAGAACAAGGTTCATCTTAACAAACTACCCCTCCCCTGGTCAGAACCCTTCCTTCCAGATCCTTCTTGCCTTGTCCAAGAGAGCCCCTGACTAGCAAAACCGTTTGATTCTTCTTTATTGTTTTCAGAGACATGGGCCCTCAAATACATTGTACCACTTGGTGAGGGACGTCAAAAAGGTAAGCACCCTCTCGACTCCAGGTCGGAGGCCCTGTGTGGACCTGCTTGCTGTGACTAGAAAGTGCCTCTGTTTTGCATGAGCTGCTAGCGTTTTTCTGGCCCTGCCTGCCACCGCACCCTCATTCCAAGACACGGTGTGCGTGCGTGCGTGCGTGCGTGTGTGCGTACCTGTGTGTCTTCTAACGCAAACATCTGCTTATAACGCAGCTGCGATTCAATCTTCAGCCTCCGTGGTTCTCGATGCTTTGGTTGGACATAATGCTTCTGGATAGTGAATCTCTAGGCTTTCTGCCATGCCGTGTGGATTTATGCCATTACCTATACTTTTCCATATGCCCTTTCACTGATTGGGGAGCTGCCTGCCTGACCATAAGAGATCTCCTCATTTCTAACTCCTGATGGCATGTGCCCCTGGCACGTCTAGCTTTAGAGAATGCAGTGAGCATAGCTCCGAATGTCTCCGAGCTGCAGGAAAGAAGACACGGCATTCCATTCTGCTGACGCGTTCAGTACATTTGAGCACATTTATCATCTCATTTGATGGGATGAGGAGAGCAGTGAGGAGGTTTGGAGAGCCAGTAGCTTTGATCAGGTGGAATTCTTTCCAAATCAGGAGGCTGAAATGCCAGCAGTAAATGAAATTGGGACGTGGTTAGTGAAGAACAAGGGTTAGAGCTCAGATTCTAGAAAGTAGAATCATTGTCTAATCCCTAGGATAGATGAGAAGAGAGGATTGGTGAAGGCAGCTGCTTTATCTCAGCGGCATGTCTGTATCTTTGCTGCACAGAATCTCTTTCAGAGACAATCTCTTTCAGGTACTGAACCTTCTCAGCATCTTCCAAGTATATTTTATTCCAAGGACCACACACACACACACACACACACACACACACACACACACACACACACCAGTACACCCACCACTACCCCACCCCCCAGTTTGTAGTAATTCTTTACCCAAATCCGCAAAGTCATGTCAGAAAGAGACTATAATTCTCTCCTGCTTTGGACATTCTTCACCAAAACTGACATTCAGTGATCTGTCGCCACTTTTAATTTGTTCCTTCAAGTGGCCTTAGAATGGAGAGATAGTACAGGAAGTAAGGCACAGGGCTTGCATCTGGTAGCCCCAGGTTCAATTCCTGAAGCAGCAAATAATCTCCTGTGCAAAACTAAAGTGTGAGGAGGCAACAAAAGGCTCTGGGACAGTTTATAATGAATCTATTATCCAGCTCACCGTGGGTTACCGAGTCTCAGTGTTACTTAGCAGCAACAGAAAACCAACTTAATGACCCTTGCAAACTTTCTTTCCACTTCCGCACAATGGTGATGAAACATCTCCTCTGTGAGTGGGCAGTGGAGTCTGAAATTCTTTTACACCAAGAGAAAGAGATCTGGCATAATCTGGGACCCAACCCAACAGCAATTTCCCCCAAATCACATCTTCACTTAGTTTGCCCAATTCCTACTGCAAGCCTACCTGCTCTTAACAAACCCATTTCCCTCAAGTCTTCCAGTTTCATTTTATTCACCCTGGCTGCAAATAACCTAAGGAGTAGTCAGGGGGAAATATCTTAGAAAATCAAAAGAGTATGCACCCCACAAGTATTCTTCGCCAAAATATTTGTTCTTTGTGTTCAATAAAATGTATTCAGCTTTTTCTAAAATAATAAGTAGAATACCCTCCCATCACTGTAAGATAGTGGACGTCCCTGCAGGGACCAGAGTGCATTCTGAGGGGACAGCTTTGCCTGTTCGTCAGACCCAGCCATTGGTCAATCCAAATCTTCACCTCCATCGCCCAGATACCAGTCTGATTTTCATAGAGATTTTGTAGATGGATTCCCTGGAGTATAAAAGCTTCAAATACTTCTGATTTGGTTCTCTTCTTCATAGGACTCTGATTTGCAAAGTAATTTTCTCTTTCCTGAAATGTCACACTGCTCTTACATTGACTCCTTATTTGCATTAAAAACTACAGAAGATACATATATTATTTTTTTAATTTCTTCAATAAAGTTGTGCACTCATAATGGAAGAACAGAAAGGATAGGATGGTGAGAATTTGGGAGGAGGGAATATTAGTCAGGAGTCATTTTATTTCTCTTTCAAGTGTTATCCAAATGCTGGAACAAGAATATTGTTACATAAACACTCATTTACTTCCTAATTTAGTAGCTGGAAAGGAATAATCACAAAGCACCCAGAATAGTATCGAAATGGTTTAGGAATAATTTATCATTTTCCCTGAGAAGAGATTATCAATCAGGTGGGGGAGTAAAAGAAATCTGTCTGTTCTTTCTTTCCTTGGGAAGAAATAAGAGAAAATACAGATTCTATTTATTTCTAAGATAAAAGAAAAAATCGATGTTAGAAGAGTAAGAACGTCAGTAGCATGGGTCAGAGCAATAGTACAGTGGGTAGGGCACTTGCCTTGCATGCGGCTGACCTAAGTCCCATCCCAGAACTGCATATGTTCACCCAGCCTCACCAGGAGCTCAAAACTAGGAGTAAACCCCGAGCACCACTGGGTATAGCCCAAAAACAAAACAAAGAAAAAAATTAAAATGGCAGAGCCTAAGAAGCCAGAGTACACTTTGTTTTGGTCTTGTTATATAACAGATGAAGGGAATGAAAAATAAGAGGGTTCTGGCTTTTTTGTTATTGTTATGAGTGAAAGGAAAATTAGACTCCTTTCCTCAGATTTCCAGCATTTCTGGCCAATCTGATATGTGAAATCTAAAAAAAAAAAAACAATTTAGGATGCCAAGAAAATCTTGAATAGTTCAAGCAATTTTCACAATTAAGGAACATAATAATTAGCCTGTGCTTTGTGCTTTACAAAGCTAGGACCTTATGTACATATTAATTGATTTAACCTGTGACAAAAATTAATCAGTAAATTATAAGCTCGGATGCAAAATGCAGTTTGTGAGTCAGGAAGACAACCCCGGACCTGAAACAGTGTTTGATCATGTGTCTGTAACGTTAACTGGAAATAACACTTGTGAGCACAGGGAATGCATTTAGGATTATCGGATCATGGGAAGGCAAGAGACATGACAACTTCAAAGCCAACTAATCTTCGGAACCTACAGATATGAAGGCAGAGGATCATTCCCCCACTAGTTCCAAAATCTCAAATTATTCAGATCTACGGAACAATTAAAGAACAGGGAGGTAAAAGAGTTATTCAGCATCAGCGAGAAATTGAACTTGATATAAACCAATCCCACTCCCTGGACCGTTCTTTTCATGCATAAATCCATGGGCTGTGCCAAGGCTCTCGTATGAAACCAGAGTGGCCCATGTCTGTCTGCTTTCCTGTGAAATCTAACTGCCGTCACAGTAGCTAACTGTCTGCTCAGTTTGTGCCTCTGTATGTTTTCAGGTAGAAGTTTTGATTTCTTAAATTCTATGTGCTAATACTGCAGATCACCTATACTCTCCCTCCCACATGAGAAAAGGAGGTTGATATTTGAGTATTACATAAAGACAGTGGTGAAAATGATAATAATTGTTAATTTACTTATATGGGAATCAAGACTAAGAACTTTGCAGATTTTCTTTAGGATGAAAAACATAGAACTTTCCAGACATATTTTGAGGGCAAAGAAAGGATATCTCCATAATCCTATCTACTAAATTCATGCAAATTTGTTAAAGTAGTCTTATTTTTGTAAATGGTTGTCCAGTCTATTTCCATACTAAACATTGGATGAATGTCCTTAATAATCTCCATGAATTCTGATGGGAGAGAATTTACTCTACTCTCCCTCAGGAAACCTGACAACCAGGGACCATCATCCACCTTACTTTGATCAGAAGAAAACAGTCTCTTTTCTATTCTTTTTTCTTTTTGAAGACTTGTTATGAGTTTCCAATAAAACAATTTGCAATCTGAGCATGACGTCATAAACTGATATGGGCATGCAGGGTTCATTTAGAAAAGCCAATCTATTAAGTGACGTTAACCTAGTCCTTTCACTAAAACGCCCTTCTTGGTCACAGTCTGGATAAAAATTCACTGTAGAATCATAGCGCCAGAACATAAGGGAGGGGAGGAAAGGTGTTTTCAAGCTATCTAATTATGCCTACCCATAGATCCAAGCTTCTCCATTTGATTCTGTGGATCAGATTGAGTCACGTGGCTCGCCATGCATTATTAAGGCATGAAATGGGAAGAAATTGAACAATTAGCAGAGGCTTTGCCAATTACCAGCATGATTACCTTGAAGCAGAGCAGGGAAGACAAATCCAGCAGACTGAGTGAGAATTACTCCGAGTTGTTTGTTCACCTCCTCTTTGAAACGGGTTGAGCTGGGAAGACTCCTCCATAAGGGTTTGCGGATTACCTGTTGGTGTGGACAGAGCCCTCATTAGCTCTGATTTTTCAGACCAGCCATAAGGATGCTGAGCCAGTCCTAATTATCCCCATTTGCATCCCTGGTCCCTAACGGCCCTAACCAAAGTCCAGGGGGTTCTGGGAAACTCCATCCATCCTAGGAGCTTTGCCTTAAGACCCGCAGGGAGAACACAGGGGTCCCTGGACCGCTAGGATCAGTCGAAGGAACTATGACCGATTAGCCCCATTTCAGTGAAAACCAGAGACTGCAAAGGACCAGTTCCGATCACACAAGGAGTGAGGAACAGAGTGAATGCCCATTTCCCTCTTTCCTAATCCCCTCGCCTCTGGCTGGAGCCTTGTGGGACCTCCGTGGTCTCACCACTGCCAGCACCTCCAACACATCCCCTGGCACACCTTCTCTGTCACCCAGGGCAACTGCAAACTTATTCTTTCCATGTCACCTATTTTCCTTTCCATTCCTCAAGAACTCTAAAGCCAATTTCCCCTTGCTTTTCTCTCTCCTAACAGACACATTCAGCCTTGCAGGCTAAAATCAAACATATTACAGGGTAGAGTTAGCGCTGCCTTCTCTGGCTGCCTAACTACACAAGCACATCCAACTCTCTCCTGGGAGACCTCGGGGATACTGTA